ACACGAAAATGGCTTAAACTACTAAAACAACTATGAATTAACAACATAGATGCACGAAAACAAGCTAAGTAAGTCGCCTAAATATGCTCCTATCAAGGTCTTGTTTCTTCCCTCTAGCACATATATATTGGCTGTCTCTTGTACTTCGTTCTTTTCATGATGAATATACAATTCACAAAATTCAATAAATGGTAATAGCTTAATGAGAGATCATTGCTCCAATTTGATTAAAGTTAAGGGATCCTTGTTACAATTTATTCTAATTATTTTGTCAAAGTTCAGAGTGCGATATGCAGAGTTCCCGGTCTAATAGATAGAAAAGTGTTGACGGTGGCAGTAATAGTTTAAGTCTTATAGCCAAGCAATGAAAGCAAACAAAAGACATCTCAAATAACCACCATAAATCAACTTCCTCTTAAATCAAACTCATCTTCAACATGAACAGTTACGATCAATACGCGTCCCTTAGACTTAGAGGTGCCACCTTTAGAAGAAAACCCAAATTTCAAAGCCTTCCGTTGATCCTGATCTGCAAGTGTAGTAGCACTGTTCAGTTCAGTGGAAACTGGGGCAGGCCCAGATTCTTCTTGTTGCTGTTGTAGCTGCTGCTGCTGCTGCTTACGATCATCCGCACATATATATATACATATATATATATATATATATATATATTTATCCTGCCTAACTTCTGTGTGGCACTCATATATTTGCCAAATCCACTATTTTGTTTGCTTAATCAAGAATTAACGTGTGAACAATTACTTAACAATTTGGCACTTTGAAAATGAAGCATCATTCTCTGCACATAAAGAACTAAGGTTTTTATCAACTTCAACTAATCAATGGGATAACAACTTGTGAAGAAACCATCAATATTTTAAGGAAGTTTTAACGAAACACTTCTGGTACTGTTCATTTTTAACAAAAAACCACATTTTTACCTTTTCCTGGTACTATTCACTACACCTTTATTTGTCATTTTTTATTAAAACTAAATTTTTTTTTAGATTTTTCATTAGTTTTCCTTCTTGGGAAATGACTTAAAAAGCATGGTAGAGAGAAGCTGCAGGGAATAAATTGGTAGAGAGAAGCTGCAGGGAATAAATTGGTGGAGCATGCCAAACCCTGGCTTTTATTAGTAAGAGTTTTCAGATGCCTTAAAGCTAGACAGCTTGCGTGCTATGAGACAAAACTAGAAACTTTTACTGTCGCCATTTATACTTAACTGCAAATCGCAACAAATCACAAGTTGACACAAATATTGAAACGGTTATAAAACCAGCAAAAGAAAAAGTTTTTATACATGTGTCGGACTATGATTTGTTTGTACGAATGAAAAAAGGAAAGGAGGGGATGCCGACCTTTAATTATTAACCAATGCATGAACCAAAGCTATTTTTCAAAGGAAGATTATATTCACACACCCGAAATTACTTCTCCCACACCCTTTTAATTTTTTAATATTTTTCTATCAAGTGTTAGTGGTGTGTAGAAAATATTAAAAAAATTAAAAATGTATAGGAGAAGTAATTTGGGATGTGTGAATATAATCTGTCTTTTCAAAACCTATTGGGAAACTTTTTACAATTGTATTTACCTAATGCATTCTTGAGTATCTTATGAAGTTTCCAGTATTTCTCATTCCTTAAAGTTGATGAAGGCCAAATAATATTTTTTTTGGTAAACAAAACCCCATTAAATACTGATCAGCACACGCTTAATCTTAATCTAAACAAGTTTTAGATCACGAGGGATTACTCGTTCTGGTGACAAGATCATATGCATGGTATCTGTTAATTAAATGCGTCGTAAAATGTGTGCTAATCCGAAGCTAATCAAATAAAACTACAGAAAATAGAGGACCATAGAAAATGTACCTTCGGTTGAGAAAGATAATAATGGTATGAGCGTGTCTTGGTCAAGCGAGAAAGCAGAGGACCATCGTAAATGTACTTTCAACCTTTTTTTTTCTCTGGTCTCATTGGTGATCTCAACCATCCAAAATTAAATTACTTCCTTAGCTGCAGTTTGAGTCCTCCAAGATTCCTCACTAGGATCACCTCCTACTATAAATACACAACACCTACTTAATAGTCACAACAAACCAAAGTGAGTACTAAGAACTTTCTTCATCTCACTTAAACCTTTGTGTTTAATTATGTTTACGTGCCGAAAAAGAGTTACGGCAGGCAACAGGCAGAAGAAGTCCTCCATCTCATGCTTCAGCATGTTCAAATGGGGGAGGCCACGCGATCGCAGAGGAGACGACATGATGGAGGATTCCTACATGAGTGAAGGAAGGGTTTGGGCGGGCGATGAGGACAGAGGCGAGTGCGTGGCTGAGCCCGGGATTAACAACAAAGCTGCGGCTTTCATAGACAGAATCCGCAAGAAATTTGAAGAAGAAACTGTGAAGCCAGATGGAAAGGCCTAATAAGAAAGGAAAACCATGGATGCCTGCATCACTTAATGTACTATATGGTCTTACTTTACTCAATAAAGTTTGTATTTATTTGTAAATCACTATAATAAATGTAGTATCTGTTTCGGTTATGCATTCTTCTGTCTTGGTTTTCAAAATCAATTTAGGCAGAAAACTAATGGTTCTCAATATACCATATGCTCACAAACCATTAGCAACTACAAATGGGTCAACCCAATGGACCGAACCGTCTGTTGATTTGGTGGGTTTTAGTGAGAGACCACGCAGCCCAATTGACTTTGGTGACGTTGCTCGTTTGGTGTCTATCATTGATTTGGAACGAGTGTCTAATTTTAATTTCGAAGGTGAAACTTATCTTTTTGAATGATTAATCCATCTTGGATAATAGTTGAATTTCGTCTTGGGGTATGAGCTCATTTCTCAATTTCGAATAACGTATTTTGACTGCATAAATTTTATAATGGGAACTATTTAATTTCTTAATTTTTATTTGAAGATTATTCCTACAAAAATTCATTTCAATTGGAGATGATTTAGTTATTCAAATCTATAAAACAAATTAACAGTTCATGTACCAAGTAACATATTCATGATTAAAGAATTTCTAATTTGGATGATTTTTTTGTAGGAGTGAAGTGATATTTGAATAAAGATTAATAAATTGAACGGTTCGATTGTGATCGTATTCGGTCAAGATACGTTATTCGCAAATGGAGATATGTGCATCCCCCACATAGGGTGGATGCAAATGGGGATAAGTGCATCCCTCACAAATAAATTGAACGGTGCCAATCCTACATGCCAAACGATGACCCATGCTTTTATAATAGAACTGAAATGGATAACCTATTAAATTTAGGTATATTAAAAGGTTGAGGTGAACGCTTTTTCATTTTTTTTTTCGGAATTAGAGTAGGATTAGAATGGATATATTTCCTTTATAAGTAACTCATCTTCTACCTTCAAGTTGAATATAAGTTTTTCATTTCTTCCTTCAACATACGACTCGTTCCCATCCAAATTTAGAGACCAAACGGCGCAAAATTAAAAGTATTCCCAAACTGAAGGACCGATAAACAAAGGTTGAGTGCTTTCATAATTTTGTGAAATTGAACCAAAAACCATATCTCAGAATCTTGTGAAGATAATCAAATAATAAGAAACCCCAAACTAATACATCAAAAAAGGGGAGAAAAGTTGTCACTTAACCAACAAACCAAAACATTAGCACATTAGAAATAGAAAGCATACAATTAGGCTTTAAAAGTAGTCGACTAAACCATAAGTTGCTCGAGAAAACTTAAATACCTGCTCTATTTCTGACTTTTTTGGAGTAGTCTACCAAGCAAGCAGTAAGAAGTTTCTAGAGTATATACATATACATACATACATACATACATACACACAAACACATATATATATATATATCCTGCCTAACTTCTGTGTGGCACTCATATATTTGCCAAATCCACTATTTTGTTTGCTTAATCAAGAATTAACGTGTGAAAAATTACTTAACAATTTGGCACTTTGAAAATGAAGTATCATTCTCTGCACATAAAGAACTAAGATTTTTATCAACTTTAACTAATCAATTAGATTACAACTTGCAAATAAACCGTCAATATTTTAATGACATGAAAAGCATGCTTGGGGTTGTGGTGCCTACAATTTATTTGGAATCCAAGTCAGTTCCATAAATAGGGGTTGTGGTTTCTTCCACACAAATTGTTGTACATGGTACATGCCTTAATTTTGTCCTCAAATCGCATTTTACTTTAGATAGTTTTTTTTTCAAAGGAAAGCTAATGAAAAGGACTTGAAAACTTTGAGTTTTAACGATAATAACAAAATAAAAGGTAAGATGAATAGTACCAAGATTGATTTTTTAACGTAAAAATATGATTTTTCGCTAAAATGAACAGTACCGAAAGTTTTTTTTGTTAAAGTTCTATTTTTTCAAAAGCTGCTGCAACTTGTAAATGTAGCTAGGCATAGGGTTTTTTCTGTACGCTAATCCGAAGCTAATCAAATAAAACTATACATCTATGACAAAAAAGTAGGTTACATCCCTTAAACAGGTCAGATTTGGCTGATCATCATTGCTAATTAAATGATTTGGAAGATGAAAAGAGTGGAATGGTTATCAATGAACTTGAGGAGGAATATCACTATTTAAAAGATTTATCTGTAAATTTTAATGCAATCTTCATAGTAGTACTTTTTTTTTAAATTCTTGTGGGAAAGATAATTTAAACTCGAGTGAATAAGGAAGCTAGCACATCCCGCTCCAGGAGAAATTTTTCCAAGTGCCGGGTACACATGACACTTGGTGTTCCCTCACCTATTAGCATTTAGTTTTATTTATTTATTGAAAAATAAGATTGAAGGATATCCAAGATGTCAAATGCTAATAGGTGGGGAACACCAAGTGTCATGTGTACCCGGCACTTGGAAAAATATCTCCCGCTCCAGCAACATCTGCAGTTTCCATGGCAGTTTGTTCTACCTTTGTGTAGTCTCGGTCCACAGTGGAAGGCTCCGCACCTGAGCCTCGTTTCGAAAAATAAAGTGACAATAATCGTATGAGTCTGCTTTGGTCAATTGAGAAAGACAATGATTCTATGAGTCTGTTTTGGTCAGTTGAGAAAGTAGAGGACCATAGAAAATGTACTTTTCAACCTCCTTTTTTCTCTGGTCTTATTTGTGATCTCAACCATCCAAAGTCACTTCCTTAGCTGCAGTTTGAATCCTCCAAGATTCTCCACTAGGATCACCTCCTACTATAAATACACACCACCTTCTTAATAGTCACAACAAACCAAAGTGAGTACTAAGAACTTTCTTCATCTCACTTAAACCTTTGTGTTTAATTATCTTTTCGTGTCGAAAAAGAGTTATGGCAGGCAACAGGGAGAAGAAATCCTCCTTCTCATTCTTCAGCATGTTCAAATCGAGGAGGCCACGCAATCACAGAGGGGACGACATGGCGGAGGATTCCTACATGAGTGCAAGGAGGGTTTGGCCGAGCGAGGAGGACAGAGGCCGGTTCGTGGCTGAGCCCGGGATTGACAACAAAGCTGCTGCTTTCATAGACAGAATCCACAAGAACATTGTCTCAGAATATGAGTGCCAAACCTTAACTGTGAAGCCAGATGGAAAGGCCTAAGAAGAAAGGAAAACCATGGATGCCTGCATTACTTAATGTACTATATTGTCATATTTTATTCAAACAATAAGTTTGTATTTATTTGTAAATCACTATAATAAATGTCGTATCTATTTCTGTTAATCATTTTCTGTTATCTTAAGTTGCAGAGTTTTTTACTACCATTCTGGTGTATTTTTCAAAAAATAAAAATAAAAACATGGTAGAAGAGAGAAACTAATCAGAAGTTTCAGTATGACGGTCACTATAGGAAGCACTTATTCTCATAAGCACTTTTACCAAAAGTTATTTTAGTAGACATTCAAGTGCTTCGTGGAAAAGTGCACCTCTATGACCATGAAACAATGTTAGTTTTTCTGCCAAATGTAAGTGTTTTTGGTTGTCCTAAAACGTTTTTAGCACTTCCAGAGAAACCAAATTCCCAGCCAGCAAAAATGTCTCTGGCATTCCAGAAACACGAAAATTGAGCCAGAAACTGAACAACCAATACACAAAAAGCGAGTGATTTCTACAAATTGGTCCAAAACCCATTTCAAGAATCTGGTAAAGATGAATAATTTCGAATAGTTCAAATGATAATCAAGTAAAAAACCCCAAATTAGTAAAAAGAAAAGGCCGTGCTGAACCAGAAAAGTGGGCCATTAGTTTATAAATCAAAACAATAGTAGATATGAACAATTCAATTAGGAAAAGAGTACCTGGATTGAAGCAGAAAGTGAAAATTTCTGGCGAATGGAAGAACCGAAGATGCTCCGGAGCTCGAACCGGCTCTGTTTTCTGACCCTCTTCGACTGGTTCAACACGCAAGAGATTATGGTAAGTGAAATTGGGGGTTGAATAGCCCAAGTACAAATGGGTCAACCCAATGGGCCGACCCGTCTGTTGATTTGGTGGGTTTTAGTGAGAGACCACGCAGCCCAATTGACTATGGTGCGTTGCTCGTTTGGTGTCTATTATTGAATTGGAACGAATATCTAACTTTAATTTCGAACGTCAAACTTATCTTTTTGAATTTAATCCATCTTGGATAATACTAAAATTTCACTTTGGGAGATTAGCTCATTCCTCCATTTTGAATAACGTATCTTGACTGTACAAATTTTATAATCATAACTATTTAATTTCTTAATTTTTATTTGAAGATCATTCTTACAAAAATTCATCTCAATCGGAGGTTATTTAATCATTCAAATCTATAGAACAAAAATTGACGTTTTAGGTACCAAGTAACATATTCATGATTAAAGGATCTCCAATTTGAATGATTTTTTGTAGGAGTGATATATGAATGAAGATTAATAAATTAAATGGTTCAATCATGATTTTATTCGGTCAAAATACGTTATTCGCAAATGAAGATTTGTGCATCCCCCCATGGGATGAATGCAAATGGGGATAAGTGCATCCCTCACAAGATTAATAAATTAAACAATTCCAATCCTATATATCAAAAGGTAGAAGTGAACGCTTTTTCATTTTTTTGGAATTAGAGTTGGATTAGAATGGATGTATTTTCTTTATAAATAACTCATCTTCTACCTTCAAGTTGGACATGAGTTTTTTGTTTCTTCCTTCAACATACAACCCATTCCCATCCAAATTTAGAGACCAAACAAGGCGCAAAATTAAATTATTCCCACGCTGAAGGACCAATAAACAGAGGTTGAGTGCTTTCATAATTTTGTGAAATTGAACCAAAAACCATATCTAAGAATCGTGAAGATAATCAAATATTAAGAAACCCCAAACTAATATAAAAAAAGGGGATAAAAGTTGTCACTTAACTAACAAATCAAAACATTAGCACAATAGAAATAGAAAGCATTCAATTAGGCATTAGAAGTACTCGACTAAACAAGAAATTGCTCGAGAAACTTAGGTGCAACCGGAATACCTACTCTATTTCTGACTTTCTTGGAGTAGTCTAACAAGCAATAAGAAGTTTCTAGTGTGTGTGTGTGTATCCTGCCTAACTTCTTTGCTGGCACTCATATATTTGCCAAATTAATCAAGAATTAACGTGTGAACAATTACTTAACAATTTAGCATTTTGATAATGAAGCAGCATTCTCTGCGCATAAAGAACTAAGATTTTTATTAACTTTAACTAATCAATGGGATTACAGCGTGCAAAGAAAGCATCAATATTTTAATGACTTGAAAAGCATGGTAGAGAGAAGTTGCAGGGAATAAGTTGGTGGACCATATTGCCAAACCCTGGTTTTTACAAGTAAGAGTTTTCAAATACCTTAAAGCTGGACAGCTTGCGTGCTATGCTACAAAACTAGAAACTTTTGCGCACAACACTGTCGCTCATCCTTAACTGCAAATCACAACAAATCACAAGTTGACACAAATACTGAAGCGGTTTATAAAATCAGCAAAAGAAAAGATTTTTGTATATGCGTCGGACTATGATTTGTCTGTACGAAGGAAAGAAGGAAATGAGGGGATACCGAACTTTAATTATTAAAACTCTAGAGTACTTAACCAATGCATGAACCAAAGCTATCTTTCTAAAGAAGGGGAAACTTTTTACTATTATATATACCTTCTGCATTCTTGAATATCTAATGAAGTTTCCAGTATTTCTTATTCCTTAAAGTTGATGAAGGCCAAATAATATTTTTTTCTTAAACAAAACCCCATTAAATACTGATCAACACACGCTTAATCTTAATCTAAACAAGCTTTAGATCACGAGGGATGACTCGTTCTGGTGACAGAATCATATGCATAGTATCTGTTAATTAAATACATAGTAAAATGTATGCTAATCTGGAGCTGATCAAATAAAACTATACATCTCTCAAGAAAAGTAGGTCACATCCCAAAAACAGGTCAGATTTGGCTGATCATCACTGCTAATTAAATGATTTGGAAGATGAAGAAAGTGGAAAGGTTAACAATGAACTTTAGGTGGAATATCACTATTTAAAAGATTTATCTGTAAATTTTAATGCAATCTTCATAGTAGTACTTCTTTTTCCTTCTATCACTGCTAATTAAATGATTTGGAAGATGAAGAAAGTGGAAAGGTTAACAATGAACTTTAGGTGGAATATCACTATTTAAAAGATTTATCTGTAAATTTTAATGCAATCTTCATAGTAGTACTTCTTTTTCCTTCTTGTGGGGAAGAGAATTTAAACTCGAGTGCATAAGGAAGCTAGCACATCCCGCTCTAGCAACATATTCAGTTCCATGGCAATTCTTCGAAAATGAAAGTTACAATAATTGTATGAGTCTGCTTTGGTCAAATGAGAGACAATTATTCTATGAGTGTTTTGGTCAGTTGAGAAAGTAGAGGACCATAGAAAATGTACTTTCAACCTTTTTTTTCTCTGGTCTTATTTGTGAGCTCAACCATCCAAAAATTACTTCCTTAGCTGCAGTTTGAGTCCTCCAAGATTCTCCACTAGGATCACCTCCTACTATAAATACACACCACCTTCTTAATAGTCACAACAAACCAAAGTGAGTGTGAGTATTAAGAACTTTCTTCATCTCACTTAAACCCTTGTGTTTAATTATCTTTTCGTGTCGAAAAAGAGTTATGGCAGGCAACAGGCAGAAGAAATCCTCCTTCTCATTCTTCAACATGTTCAAATCGAGGAGGCCACACAATCGCAGAGGGGACGACATGATGGAGGATTCCTACATGAGTGCAAGGAAGGTTTGGCCGAGCGAGGAGGACAGAGGCCAGTTCGTGGCTGAGCCCGGGATTGACAACAAAGCAGCCGCTTTCATAGACAGAATCCACAAGAACATTGTCTCAGAATATGAGTGCCAAACCTTAACTGTGAACCCAGATGGAAAGGCCTAATGAGAAAGGAAAACCATGGATGCCTGCATTACTTAATGTACTATATTGTGATATTTTATTCAAACAAGTTTGTATTTATTTGTAAATCACTATAATAAATGTCGTTTCTGTTGCTGTTATGCATTTTCTGTTATCTTAAGTTACAAAGTTTTTTACTACCATTCTGCCTATCTTTTTCATTCTTCTATTTTGGTTTTCAAAATCAATTTAAGTAGAAAACTAATGGATATGCCATAAACTTAATTATAAGCAGCATGAAGCTAGTGGAAGTTGTCAATACTAATCAGCGTCGAAGTTTTCTGGTGTATTTTTTCAAAGAAAAAAAAATTAAATAAAAAAACATAGTAGAAGAGAGAAAACTAATCGGAAGTTTGAGCATGACGGTCACTACCGGAAGCACTTGTTCTCATAAGCACTTTTACCAAAAGTTATTTTAGTAGACATTAAAGTGTTTCATGGAAAAGTGCACCTCTATGACCTTGAAACAATGTTAGTTTTTCTGCCAAATGTAAGTGTTTTTGGTTGTCATAACCCGTTTTTATCACTTCCAGAAGCAGTCTTAGATATACCCTAGAATATTGTACGATTTCGTACCACCAGATATAGAATTATATAAATTACTTGCATCATCTTCTCCATGTTTGCAATCAACCATTCGTGGTTAAAAGAAAAATTCAGGTTGCTTTTGATCATTAGCATTATGCAGCAATTCCATAGCAGTCTTTGTGTGGTTTCTTCAGGTTTTTAAAGATAATGTTCATGATTTAATTGTATAATCGAAAATTGGAAATTTAAGAAAATTTAAAGAGCACATAGAATCCTTTAGATTTTATACTTTCAAGCAAATTTTCAATAGATTTCTGATAAAGCAGCTGTTTCATCAAGTTCTTTTTTATTTTTGGCCTATATATTGCTTTAAAAAATTATCGTGCACAAGGAGCGTATGTAAGTTGTCTAAAGATACAAGACCGAACTCTAGCTTCGTAATTCAAGCAATATACTCGGTTACTTTTCTTGCAAGATACTGGTTGAAAGTTAAAGTGCCTACAATTATTTGGAATATAAGTCAGTTCCACAAATAGGGGTTGTGGTTTCTTCCGCACAAATTGTTGTACATGGTACATGGTTTATTTTTGTCCTCAAATCGCATCTTACTTTAGATAGTTTTTTTCAAAGGTTGCTGCAACATGCAAATGTAGCTAGGCATAGGGTTTTTTCCACAGACAATAAGTACAGCTAGCAGAAACAAAAGCAATGGTAGAGAAAAAAATACCAGACCAACCCTCCAAAATAGGAGGAGACACATAATTAAGATCAATATGAACCAGAAACAAAGCATATTATATATGCATGTTGTGTGTCACATAACAAAATCTTCACTCCAGCCCGTGGCATTGAACCGAGACTCAAATCATGGCTAATCAGACAACTAGAGTAACTTGTTTTCAAAACATTCTTCACTAATGCTATTGGTTGTTTTGTTGTTTACAATCATGGAATTACACTTCTGATCAACCAAATTAAGGTCTCGTGTTAAAGCAAGCGGAGATTGTACTAATTTTCGTTAATCTGGCTGTTGTTTCGGTGTCTACAAGTATGCACGTTGTGTGTCACATAATAGCAGATTTTCCTTAAACCCTGAATCTTTAGTTCTTTACCCCTGTATTGAATCATAACTTGAATCAGCTAATCAAACAACTGGAGCAGCTTTTCAACATTCTTCACTAATTTGACTACTAATTAAATGCTATGATGTTGGTTACAGGCTTGATGAACTAATGTAATATCTCATATTAAAGTAAGTGGAGGTTGTACTAATTTACATTCATTAATTCGCTGTTGGTTCAGATAGATAACTTTTCGTTCATGAAGTTCTCAGTCATTTGCTGCTAGTTTCTGAATGTACTAATTTAGCAGTATTCGAAGGGATTATTTCTTTCTCTAGTCTGTCTCATATTTAAGTAAGAGTAATGTCAAAGAGATTAAATTTTTTAAATCAAATTTGCAAACTAAATAATT